TTTTTTTCAAATTATGTCAATTTTACCTCATTACAATATGCTACAAATAGGATTCAGAAACTGAAACTGAATTTCCTGGGGTTACCCTGATTAGAAAAACAAATGAAACAAAAAAAAGCTCAAAATATCAGGATGATCAGGTGTCAAAATGAAGCAGGAATCTGAAAACGTAATTTAGGCATTTTGACAATTTAATCCTCAATTCAATGTGACGGGTCACACATATATTTTTATTTTTAACTCCTAATTACTCAGAAACACTGTTTGTTTTCAGGTTTATGAGGTTCAACTAATCCTAAACAACCAGAGGAAATAAAAAATGCACACCAAGCAAAAAGTTGGGACWCTAGAGGATAAAACTGCCGGATCATCAGGGGTGTAAATCATTAGCTTTATCATGATACAAAGTTATATCAGATATGATATAACATATTTAAAAAATCTGTCATTAAAATTTCGATTTGATTTAATTCATGTCTGCGATTGATATGATGTAATATCATATGCCCATCTAACACAATCATTTAGTAACTGATTGTGTTATATGGACATATCCATCCACATCTGGCATTTGATGATGACATGGATCGATGTTTTTATTTTGTTGATGTAACTGAATCAGTCGTTTCATCGATATATCGATGTGTATTGATATAGCCCTTACTGACCACCAGCTCCACAGAGATGCCCCTGCTGCACATACCTGCGCACACTGCTGCATCTCAGAGTCCTGCTTCTTCTTCTGATTGACAGAATTTCCCCACTGATGGATGAGCTTCTGTGTCTCTTTGTGAACCTGCTGCAAGTTCTCTATCGTCCTGTCCAAGCCAACCTGTTAGAAAAAAACAGAAAGAGAAAACAAACAGCAACTACTGTCACGTTACAGCACACCATCCAACCTGTGAGGCCGGAGGATTAAAAAAAAGCTGTGACATTTAATTTAAAAAATAGGCCTGTTTAATTAAGGTTGCAATGTTTTTTCTACATGATTTTAGATTTTATACATGTAAAAGTAAAGTAAAGTTTTATTTATTTAGCACCTTTCATAGAAATAGATTCACAAGGTGCTGTACAATCAGAGGCAAATCAAAATATATACAATCAGAACAGGATATACAAAAATTTGGAACAAAAAAGTATAAAAGCTGTACAACCATCAAAGTATCAAGACTGTGCAATCCGAAAAATAAAACAAGTAAATAATATCTAGACAAAAATGGGGAGGGCAGAGTAAAATATTAAGATGAAGGATTTAAAGAATGAAGGATAAAAAACTTTAAAGATTAAGTAAATGTGGGATAAAAGCCTTTTCTAAAGCACTCTTGGAGGTTTTGCCAGCCTTTGGGACAGAGATTGAACTAAACATGACCTTTGAACTCAGGCGCTCAGTCATTCTCACAAGAGGCCAGAATTCAAAACCTCTGCCTGAGGACCAACCTCTGTCAATATTTTTCTGAAGTCAGTTTGTCATGTTTTTCTACAACATATATGAGTATTACGAATATTAGGGCCACACAATTTTTTTAAGTCTTAAAGGGATCCACGATTAGTTGTAACATTAAACTTTATTTGATAAACATTTATTTTAACTGTAAAATAAAGACTGTAGGTTGTTTAGATTTGTAAATTTTTTTAAATATATTTTAACACGGACGGAGCCATTTTATTTACACGCAAAGCATTCTGGGTAAATGATGAC